TTAGCATATCAAATTTAAATATTTCAGTTGATATTTGCAAATGGTGACACAAATTTATATAATATGTCATGATAGACACACGTGARGGGAGAGTAAGCTTGTTACTTGTTTAGCACTTGTATATTTAAATTTATCATGATTGTGTTTTGGGTACCTACTTATTATAGGTAGTGGATAGGAAATATAATATTCGTAGCATTGAATTCGCATTATAAATTCACATACATACGTGTACTGTGTAGTCAAAGTTTGGCAGAAAATAATGCATKTCATATGATACGTTTTATTAGTATTTATCCCATTTATTGTTTTCACGCCAGAGGAAATCAACAAACTTACTACAAATCTGTATAACTGCATTGTCTGTACTTATACGTCTATAAAGTACCTACGTGGTACTAATAATTTCTTACAAGACATTTAAGTAATACCTACGATAGACATTCGTATAATATGATATATTATTATAAACAGTTTATTGGTCGATTTCATCACAGAATTTCACACCATAGGCTATTATCGATGCAAATATATATGTATATATAYATTTAGCTACCTAACGGTAGTGCACTGAATAGCAAAGCGTTGTGTAGTTGAACATTGGGTTTATTTTTTTGTACGTTGTCAAACAAATCCGACACGGTAATATACACTTGTTGTTCATACAGTCATACCTATATAATACGCTATTGAGCGTAATGCGTGTTGAGTTGGGAGAACCTGAAAACGTAAAAATGTGATGCCAAATCGTATTGCTATATAATATATCAATATACAATCCTATTTTTAAAAATCGCTWTAGTTAGATCACCTATTCTAAATATAATGAGYAATTTTTTTTTCAATAAGAAAATGTTAATAGGTATTGTTGATATATGCTCTGAAATAAAAAATTATATAGATTATGATATGTTTTTTTAGCACCAATGACACGACGGTTGTGAGGTTAATCCATCTTTTTCGGTTGTCCGCAGGGTTCTCCATAGCTCAGGTGATGGTACATGATGGCCTGCGGATGAGCACTTCACGAGCGTACTTGCGGCCTGCCCACAACAGGCCCAACCTGTTCGTGAAGATCAACAGCCGTGTTACCGGGTTGGTGTTGAATAAGCTCAACAACCGCGTGCAGGGCGTCAAGTACGTGGACCAGTATGGTGAGCACATGGTGCGCGCCCGGAAGGAAGTGATCCTGTCGGCGGGCGTGGTCGGTTCCGCGCACTTGCTCCTGGTGTCCGGCATTGGACCGGCCGAGGAACTGCTTCGGGCTGGTGTCACTGTTTTCCAGGATCTACCGGTTGGACGGAACCTGCAGCACCATGTATCTGTCAGCGTCGCTGCCACGGTGAACGCGTCTGAAGAGGCCCACTACCTGACCATGGACGCGGTATCAGAATTTTTAGCTACTCGTACCGGTCCACTGGCCAGCACRGGCCTCACTCAGACCACAGGATTTTTGACCACGTCGTACTCGGTCGACGGRGTGAGTAATATTTTCCTAGGTATTTGGATAGGTTGTCGTATAAGAATGGCGACGAGTAACTCATGGCGAACGATTATGTTGTCATTCCAATGTGTACATGTACTGTACATATTGTACATCGCTACACAAGTCAAATCTGACGATCAACGATTCACAGTTATAATGCCGATCATCTAATTTATATATGACACATGTCATAGTAGATTTTTCAGATGGGGGGGGGGAGGGCACCATGAGATATTTCCGTGTACAGCATACAGAACATACGTTTAAACATATTATAAGTATACGGTTAAACGTTACACTACACTATATTTGTAGACGCTTTGATTTATATCTGATGGTTAAATTATAAAAATAGGGGTAGATAATTGGGGCCCCTTGATGTCATAGTATATATTAAACACTTCGGCACCAGTGACGATTCAACCTTTTTTTTTGTTATACGTAAAATGGTCAAAAAAATATATACTTACTTAATATGTTTGTTTTCCGATACAGGTACCCGATGCACAGGTGTACTTTGATGGCCTTGCACCCAACTGTGACAAGATCCCCGTGGATCCAGACGGTCCGGCGTACCGAAACTATGAGGGTTCGAGGGCGTACGTGTGGGCCAGACCGACGTACCTGTTGACAAGGAGCAAGGGCTATATCGCGCTGCGGACCGGCAACCCGATGGACGAACCGATCATCCAGCCCAATTACTTCCAAGACCCGCGGGACGTGCTGGCCATGGTAGAAAGCATACGGATCGTGTTGGCACTGATGGGCACGCGGGCATTGAGCAAGTGGGACATGCAGCCGGACACTACGCCGTATGAAGGATGCGCACAGCACGTRTACGGCACGGACGCGTACTGGGCCTGCGTGGTGGTCACTGACACCAAGCCTGAGAACCACCATTCGGGAACTTGCAAGATGGGACCAATCGACGACCCGGATACGGTAGTCGACCCGGAGCTCCGGGTACTCGGTGTGGCCAATCTGAGGGTGATGGACGCGTCCGTGTTCCCCACCGGACCCAACTGCAATCCTATAGCGCCGGTCATAATGGTGGCCGAGAAGGGCTCAGACATGATCAAGCAGACGTGGAGAGCATACGCGCACGAAAACAACGTGCCGCCATACATAAAGTCTAGGACGGCATCATAATATTATTATTTTAATTTCGCATCACTGATATCCCTGACCCGTGTGGCCATGTATATGTATATAGGACCATTTCACTTCGCATTTTTCGAATGATGTKAAGTATARTATTGTAATGTACATTAAGTATTTATAGTAGATTATTGYGACAACAACAACTCTGAAAAACAGACATGTTTTAACTTTTAATTGTATATTTATTTATRTTAAAAAATAAATCCTCAATATAAAATGAGTTCTACCAGATATTTCTCTGAGTACTGAGTAGATACTTATTATTAGAATTTAATAACGGGTATAACTTTTAATAGATAAAAACATATATATATATATATATTATATATAGTTTAAGTCTTTGAGAATTTTATTGATACCTAGTTTATTATCCACTTAAATAAGTTACAATGTTTAAGTGTTTTTATTGTTCTGAATTATTTATTTTTTATTACGTTAAAAAAATATTTTTTTTGTATATAAAGACCCTAGCCAACATTATTTTTACCAAGTCAAAACTGTTTATAAAGTATTCCATTGAATTTTATTAAAAAAAGAATAAAAATTGTTACAATTAGTAATTATAGAAGTTTAATATTTATAATTTGCTATTTAATTTATATACCTATGTATGATAATATTGTTAAYATGATTTATAATAAAGTATACACTATTAAACGCATATTGTCCTTTAGGTGCAGTAGGGAATTGTTAAAGGTGACTAATAGATGATATCATTTTCGACTTACGTCAGTCTTCGTAAATAATAAAACTATAGTCTATACTTATTTTGTGTTTATCATTTGTTAATGATTATTAGTTTTGTTTCCGGCAAGTTAATTTTAATTAATTAACTCACATGAAAAATTATCTGAAATG